TGCAAAATTTAGGGAGGTAATTGTAAAGAAAAGCTTCCAGGACACATAGCTATTGTGAAATAATGCATCACATGTTATCACATGAGAAGCTGTGGTTTGTAAAAGGAAACTCAGCCCTTAGGGTGGAATCCAAAAATGAATTCTGCTCTCTTTCTTCCCAGTGATTTGTTTTTTCCTGCTGTAAAAATACAATTTCTGAGGGTGTTTACCACATATACAAAGAGCATGGGCTTGTGCTGTTCTGAATGGCATTTGTGGGCTCTGGGTGCTCCCCTCCAGTTAGCCCTGGTAAGCAACTGGCCTGGGTGATCCCCAGGCCCTCCAGGCTTCTCCCTCCCACCTCTTCAGCTGGCATTGTCCCTGTGCAGGCCTGCCAATTGCCATGGCCCTCCGGAGTGTGGGAGCACATGCCCTCTGGGAACTGATGGGGTCATCTAAGGGAAGATTTTGTTCTCATGAAGGGAAAATGATTGAGAGAGAAGAGGAGAAGAAGGATGGACTGTGGAAAAAGGACAGTGAATAGGAGCATGCCCAGGCCGGGGGGTGGGCAGGGGGTTCCTGCTCCACTTCAGTTCTGCAGCACGGTGGGAAATCACCGTTACTCTCTGGCATGCTTGGTGGGACTCCACATACCACAGAAAGCATTTGTCTGATCCTTGAGCTGGGAAAGAGACTGCAAATGCCTGGAAAGTAGCTCTTACCAGCACTGCCCCGAGAGTCAGACTGCCCGGGTCCCCATTCAAGCTCTACAGTTTTTAGCCAGGTGATCTTCAGAGTTTTCTAACCTTTTTGTGTCTCAGTTTTCTCCTGTCTATGTGAGGATAGCAGAGATACATACTGTAAGATAAACAGAAATGATAGAAAGCTCCAGTGCCATTAGAACAGTGTCTGATTAACTCTCAATAAAGGTTAACTATTATCCACGTGATTTATCTAGAACTTTCAAGGGAATTTACAGTCTTAAGCCTGTGTCCTTCAGGGAGGCAATGGGAACAGAATTGCCAGGTCAAAGGTCTTTTCTTATTTTAAAAATAGACTGAAAATGATATGAAAAGTCCTAACCAGGGGCCTTCTCTCTATCATGGTCGCTCAGATCCCCTGAGCTTCAAGAGTCATTGTTTCTCATTTCCTTTTAGTTGAAACAAACACCACTGTCTCTGCCCCCTCTTCCTGGTGAGAGTCAGTCTTAGGGTCTGCAGCACAGGAGAGCTGTGGCAACCTCAGAGGAATCTGGGGGAGCCCGGGAATGTGGTGTCAGGTGAACCCCGATACACATAACAGGAACTTGGCAAATGATATTAAATATGTGGATAAAAGGAAACCTTAATGAGATTACTGAAATTTTAGAAATAAGGCCTTTAAAGAGTGTAGGTAGGAATCAGACTTAGCAGAAAAGAAGAAATAGCTAAGGGAAAAATTTCCAATGAAGTGTGTTTACCTCCCCATCATTACCCTCACTGGAATAAAAATGCATGCATGGAGTGTGTGAGACACACATGGAGTAGGTGACCAGTAAATGTTTGCTAAATAAATGAAAGGATGCATGGGCAGATTAAAGAAGGATATGGGGTCCAGGGAAAATGCTTGAACTTTGGAATATGTCACAGAGATTCGAAGACTGAAACAGAACTCTACGAGTAGAGTTGTTTGCTTTAAGATTTTTAGTGATGGAAAAATCCTTCAAATTCTGTTTCTTTAACTACTGTTTGTGACTGAGGTAATCTACTTAGTGTTACTCCCCCGAGTCGCTCTCCCTGTCAGGAGCCTGCAGGGTTAGGGTTAGGGCTGAGCCACAGGAGTACACATGTGTCCCACCTGCACTTGAGGTGCTGATTGGCCAGAGGTGGTTCTTTACCAGTGTGTCCCTTTGCTTTTTACTGGCCACTATCTTCTCTCCTGATTTCCCACTGCCCTCTCTCAGCATCTTCTTTCCTCGGGCTGTGGTAGCTAGGAGCAACTAGGGTCATGCCCTTGGCAGTGCCACGGGCAATGACTTATAATCTCTGTAAGCTTTGGGTTCTCTTCCTATATGGAAATGGAAACTGTCCTCTCCATAGGTTTTGTTGGATTTCTGCACTTCATCTCTCTTTTTATAGTGAGGTCCTTCCTTATATTGGACACTACAGATCCTACTTTGTATATACATCTCCTGGGAAACACAGCCATTGCTAGAGAAGACTTTTTAATTCTGCAGGTTTTGAATGGACCTCCCACTCTGCATGCCAGAATAACTTTAGCTGATCTTCTGCAGGGTGCATACTTGTGCCAGCAAGTGGGGTGCATGCGTGTGTGCATGCATGTGTGTGTGTGTGTGTGTGTGTGTGTGTGTGTGTGTGTGTGTAGAAGGAAAGGGAAGTTTTTGGAAAGACTTCAAATACTCATGGTATGGAGCAGCTGGCAGATACCTTAAACATCACCTACTTTGGGGATTTTTCATCAGCCGTCAGAGGAATCTCAAAATATTTCAGAGGCATCTCAAGAAGCTGCAGTCTTGAGACAGGGCTGCTAAATACAGGTATGTGGTGGGGACTTTCCTACTTCCTAGGCCACTAGAAATTCAGATGTATCTGTTTTTCAAACTGGTCCCATATTTTTATTTTATAATTAGGTAATAGAGGTGGAATAACTTGTTAGTCAGGTCTCATTTTACCTTGGTCACTGCTTGATAATCCTCTCAGATATCTTGGTGTCCTGCTAAGAATTACTTTTCGTGACTTTTTCTGTTTTTCTAATTCTCCACCTCCATTTACCATCCCAACACCTTCTTCATCTTCCCCAGCTGCCATATTTTCCAGAAAGAACTGGGGTCTCTGGAGTTTGTGCTCTCACGGCCTCTCTTTTCTTCCCTCTGTGTTCACTTTTCCTGTTCCTCTAGTCTCTGGAGAAAGTGTCTCTTGTCTTTCTGTTTTTTCACTGCTAAACTTCCAGTTGAGCCTACAGCTCCACTTCTTTTTTCCAACAAGATCTGGTCCCAATTTGAACTTGTGTATTCAAGTTTTTCCTATCAGCCAGAGATTTTTCTCTTTGCCTACAGAGAACTTTGGGTCTCCTCAGAATGCACATGAAGCAAACATAACAGCAAACTAACAACAATCATAACAAGCAATCTCCTCAAACTTGTTGGTTACCCGTTGCATTGTGAGTTGAATACAAACCTCTTCACTTAGGCAACCTCTTCCTTCCTGTTATTCCTCTTACATATACCACAGGGACCAATAAACTGTCTTCATTTTTTGAACACAGTGGATATATTTTCCTTGCTACCTCCCTTCCTGTTACCTTCTGCTCTCTTTCTTCTGACTGCTGATGTCCTTCAAAGCCCATCAAAGGCTATTTCTTCTATGAAGCACTCCTGGATTTCCATGAGTAGCTATAATCCAACCTTCCTTCAGATCAGCACTGTTACTGATTTACAGGGTCTTAGTATTTTCTGTCTGCCTGACACCTACTCAGGGAATCTTAATTTTTGTGTCTACCACAGTGCTTTTTGCATAGTTACTTAATCTGCCAGTGTTACACAGTTATTTGGACACAGCTGGCTTTAGGCCTATTTTTCTCAATTCTTAGACAATTTTTCATGTTAATAATAAGGTGTCTGTGACTTAACTAAAGAGCATTTTGTCTTGTGTCTCAAGAAGCATAGCATAGCTTTTGATCTTTGGATTCACATTTTGCTTTGACTGAGATTACCTTACCCAAAATAGTTACTGATTTAGCTGGACAAGTTAAAGCTTTCAACTAGCTCTCAACTGATTTATCAGTTCTGTTTGTCTGAACTACAGCATTAAGAATTTGAGATTCATTATGGAAAAGATTGATTGCTTGATTATTAGTTAGGTATTCTGTGGGCATAAAAGAGAAGGAGAATTCTTCCATCCTTTTGGAATACATGCAGCTTGAATGATGGGAACAGACATGCTGTTTTATCTAGTTCTCTTGGAAAGTCTCTATACATTGATGATCACATTTAGTGGCTGGGTACATTTTAAGATATGCAGTTCTATATATGAGCCAAGCTATGCTGGAGAAATGGGACTACATTAGCAACCCTGACTGCTTATAAGCCTTGCTCACTGAGATAGAAAATAATTACTTTGTCCCAGTTTGAAATTCCACCCTTCTGTAAGTCTTTTATTGGCTTCTCATAGGATTGGAGGTCAGGCACTTTGATATTTTGATTTTCACTATCTTGACAGCTTTCTCCTTAGCATGTTTAAAGTTCCTGGGTAATATTTTTCCCTTGAAAGAGCAGAACTAAGAGCTTTGGAGCAATGTGACCCAAATGCTGCTCTGATTGAGGCATAGGGCTCACACAATACTTTTCTCTGCCTGACTTGAGGGTCTCAAAGGCCTGAAGCAGAGCGTGGGCTGCAGGCCAGTCAAGGGTGGGCTTTGTAATCTGCTCTCTGCTATCCAATCCAGACTATAACCCCAGTGAGAATTGGTAGTATTACTTCTTTCACTCAGGGAGATAAAAGGACTCCCAACCTAAATTCTTTATTTCTGATCGTTCCTAGCGTAGACTGGGCCTGCCTGACCAGTAGGGCCCAATTGTGGAACTCAACTCTGAGTTCTGTGTCACTGTAACCTAGGTCAAACACGGCTGGGAAAAGATGTGAGTAAAAGCAGCTGGGTTTTGCAGACAGTCTGAAATCTCAAACACTGCAGTCTCTGATCCCGTCCTGGTTCTGCTCTCCCAGTCCTGGACTTTCCTGGCTTGCTCCAGTGATTCCATTCTCTTCCTCACTCTGTGGGCTCCTTTGAAAACATTTCTTCCTCATAACCCCGCGTGTAGTTAGTAAGGCTGCTGACCCCTCCCTCAGAGCTTAGCCTGTTTCTGTCCTTCAGTTTCCACGGCCCCTCCAGCCCTCCCCTCACTCAGCAAAAATTTACAGCCAATCCAGAGCCATCATCCCAAGGGGAAGAAACACAAGTCTGTGTTCACCACCAGTCAAGCCATTGTCTAACGGGTAAATAAAAGCACTTGAAACCCCACTTACGGTGAATCTCCACAGCCCCCCAACGTCATCGCTCCTCTCAAAGCAGGTGGGCTGCAGTCCTTCTTCCAGACAGCACTTGATGGAGGCCAGGCCGCAGACCCCAGCTCCCACGATGGCAACTCGTTTGGCCATGTTCTCCTGTGGGGGAAAATGAAACGGAGCTTTTTATTCACAAAAGCCTTCACCCCACCCTTGGCTGCTCTAACAAACCAGGAAAAAAATTCTGGAAGATTAAGGGATTTGTTCAGGTCGAGTCCTCTGAAGGCTTCTCTGGTGTGTGAATATGCAGTGAGAAATGTTCAGGTCACTAGTTTAAACCCCGGAGTTAGTCATGTTTCCACCCCTCAACTCGAGCTGGCGCCACACACGAGTGCAGTGGTGGAGGAAGCTGCTGATTCTGGCAGACTAGCTGAAATTGGACCCTTTTGTGGGAAGGTCTTGCATACTGGACTGTGCTGCTTCCAGCTCCCAGACTCCAGCCTTAGACCAGAGCACAGCTTCAGACCAGGAGGGGATAAAACTGTCAGGTCCATTCTTTCATCATTTATGACTCAGAGTGGTTTGGGGATGTTGCACAAAGGCACTGCAGCTGGTGGGGTAAAGTTCATGACACTTGTGGCTCTCACAGGTGCTTTTGCATGACGTGTTCTTCATGGTTTGTCTCTGTCGTGTGCCAAGGTTCTAGCTGTGTTGCTGATATATAATCCTTTCACCTGTAAGAGTTTTATGTTCCCCACTGGAGGAGGCAGGGTGGCTGTCCTGATTATATGTAGTGGAAAGGAGGACATGGGAGACCATTACTCCGCTGTCAATCAGACACTGACTCATCTCTAGGCAACTGGCAAGTTGCAGCTGGCACAGGTTACAGGAACCAACCTGAGGCATTATTGATTAAATAGCCAGCTATTACTGTGTGATCCTTGGGCAAATTATTTAATCTCTCCAGGCATCATAAAGTAATAATAATACTAGCCTCCTTGTAGCGTTTGCTTGAATGCAAAGGTCTATTTCTCAGGTGTCCACTAAAGTGTTGTAGGGCTGGTTGTTTCCTGTAGCAAGAGGATGTGGCTTATCCAGGAAGAGCAAAGAGATTCCTCTTAGAGAAAGTCAGGCTTCAGGCTCTCAAAGATACTACAGAAACAACGATCTTATATAATTTGCCCTTTCCTGGGTGTAAGAACAGTAGCAATCCTGCTTTTAGAGAAGCAGTTGAAGTATGGGTGCTGGGCTCAGGAACATCTGTTTTGAATCCCTGTTCTATTATGAATCAGCCTGGGGATGTAGAAAACCTGCTCACCTCTTTGGGCTTGATTCTCCTCATTTGCAAGAGAGGTTATAATGCTACATTTTGTGAGGCATAATAGGCATGCAATAAAGAGGGGTTTGCACAGCAAAGAGGCTATTTGCACCTGTGCACCAAAGCATGCTGACTCTGGGCAGTCAGTAAGCGTGAGCAGGGCAGCACATTCATGGCTGTGACACAACATCAGGAAGCAAAGCAGATTACTTAGGGGAAGACGAGGAGCCACTTACTAGGACTGGGTTGAGAAAGAAGGTGAGGCAACTGTCCTGCCATGGCTTCACCAAAACACAACACAAGGGGGATGTGTCACTTCCCTGGGAAGGGACTAATGGTGTTCATCCTGCCATGGTGTCCTGGACAGGAAGGATAGGCTCGTGTATAGCAGGCACTGGAGGAATGTATTTGTTGCCCAGGATGCTGGAGTTTCAGATGTACACTTGCTACTTGGAAGCACTAGGCTGGTTCAGTAGGAAAGAACACATCTACTCCAATTGTTGGTCTGGGCACAGGGAATCAGGTTGAGCTGTGAGCTAACTGTGGAGGCCTTGGGCAGAAGTGAACTATCCTGGGGTCACTTTGCAAAACAGCACGTAAGCAGCGACTCCTAAGCCAGCACCTGACTCTGTAATGCAAATATTTGGGTGCTATAAGGGCTTTCAGAGGCCAGGATTTGAAGCTGGCTGTAGTCAGGTAGAACATAGATAAAAATTTTTTGGAGATAATCTAAGCAGGAGATTAATCATTCATACAGAGGTGGAATCCAACGCCCTGGTCTTACATTCAGATTCAGTTGATGCACTCTCTAAATAATTCAGTGAGTGGCTTCTGTGTTGCCAGGCCTGAGACTTGGTGTTGGGGTATAAACGGTGAAGTAGAGCAGGGATCAGTCTGTGAAGTGGTAAGCCAGGTCTGTGTCTTACGTACGAATTGTAGTATACCATGGAGGAGAAGGAGCTAATACTAACTTTGGTGTAGTAGGAAATCAATGGTGAGAAATACAGTTTGCTCCGGATTTTTGAAGGACTTCAGCGGATGTAAGAGGGGAGGAAATGAGCTTCAGAGTTCTGAGCAAGAGTGATGGCTGGAGGAGGACCTCACATAAGGCAGGAGTAGCTACCTGACTCCATGCCTGTCTTTAGACTCCTGGAGGAACTATAGACTGTAAATCACAAAAGCAGCTGCATACTGTTGTTGATTACCTTGGTCAAGTCTTTTCGTCTTCTCTCTACATAAGGCTATGTTTTCCTCAAGTAGAACATTTTCCCTGACTTGTCTCTGCTTTCCCAGGTCCTAAACTGCACACTTGGGCTGTCATAGTAGTTGCTAAATAGTTGGCAATAGGCTGATTAATTGTTGGGTAAATGAATTCATTCATTACCTTATGAGCTTTTCAATTTAAAAAATTAATTGAGCCAATATTTGCTGGTAGCTAATATCCTGGGCCAGAGATTCCTTTCTCAGAATGATGTCTTTGCAAATGTACAAGATGTAGAAATTTCTTCCCCAGGCCAGCACTGTAGTTTGGTTGGATCAAATAGAGTCAGCCTCTTCTGAACAGTAGATTTCTCTGGGGCTTTTTGTTGGGCATTTAAGTGGTGGGCTTATGAGTTAGAGTCTTGGATTTGAAGCTTCACGTTGGCTAATTTTCGGTGATCTGGCTAGTTATCAACAATTTAATGTTTCTGTGCCTCAGTTTCTCCTCCTTAATATGAAGTTGAAAATACAGTCAGACTCAGATCTTGTAAAAGTGAGTCAAGTGACATATACAAGTCACTTAGCATAGTACTTGGGACATGCTAGGCCCCTCAATAAGGGTTATTTTCATATCCTGAAGCAATTTTTTCTTTATCATCCTGTGGCTATCTGCCTTGACAACTTTGAGTTTCACTTGTTACAGAATAATAAGAATCAGAAACTCTGGGGAAAACTAAAAATGTCTAAAAAGTTATCTTGTATAACGTGAATGGAATGAATCAGGAAATATAAGAATAATGATAAGAAAGGGAAAGGAAGAGGGGGAAAAAAAGGAAGGCATAAAGTAGCTTTCAAAATCACTCTCAAGGGGTTGGGGATTTAGCTCAGCGGCATAAGCACCTGCCTTGCAAGCAGGCAGTCGTGAATTTGATCCCTGGTACCGAAGAAGACAAAAAAACAAAAACAAAATCACTCTCAAGGACTTTTTCTTTTTCTTTTTTTTTTTACTTGTCTCTTTTAATCTTGCTGGTGTACCAGCAGTCTCATTCAAGCTATTCCTCACATTTGTAAAAATGCACACGCACTCAGGTAGGTGACCTAAAGGTCACCATCACGCTTGACTAAACTCAATTCTTCTACCCACTCATTCAAGAACTGATATTTACATGAAGCTCATGTGACTTCCTAAGTGGTTTTTAAAAAGAAAGTTTTGTCCTCCTTTATTTTTTAAACTAAAAATAATTTATTTACTTTATTTTTTTTTAGGACAAAAAGTACACTAAGCAATTTTATTAGGATAAAAAGTACACTGAAGTTGCTAATTTCAGGAACATAATTTTGCATATAAATGCAAAAAAATTATTCCTTATGTGGGTGGTCAGTAAAAATCTGGACAGTTCATGGAAGTTAAAAAATATTTTAATGAAGGCCTCATCAAAGCTAACTAAGTGTGAAACAAACAGTAAAAATTAAGAAAATATAAGTAAATTAGTAAGGTGGGGTTCAATGATATTAGTAAGGTAGGAATTATATAAAAAAAATGACAAGGAACATCATGAGTGACCACCCCCTCCATCAATCTGGCTCGAGCAGGGAGGTGGGTGACCCCTCCCTCCATTAGAGGACCTGTGTGGGCAGCGGCCCAGTGAGATTGCAGGGTGAAGGTGGGCTGCTGAGATCACTGGTGACACAATGGGGACCCGGCTGGGATTCACAGGATGGACAGATGGGACTGGCAACCTGGAAAGTCCAAAGCAGTAGTAACAATACAGCCGGTAAGTTAGGTGAACCAGTGTAGATCCTCTCGATTTCTGTATGATCTCACAGCACTGCCCCTTTTCATTCCTAATTGCTTGAATTAGGATCCTACAGAAATCGAGATCAATCATATCTATTTTGAGGACCTGCACTCTAATAAGATGAACAACACAGAAGAAATGGACATATTTCTAAACAGCCAAAATGCCAAAACTAAATCAAGATACAAACATTCTAAGTAACCTGATAGCAGCCAATGAATTTGAAAATGTAATTAAAAACTTACCAGCAAAGAAAAGCCCGGGTCATGATGGATTCACTGTTAAATTCTACAGGAAATTTAGAGAACAGACGCATGCCTTTGGCTGGCAGACTGACTGGAATTCCCCAAGACTCATGACAGCGGGGACCCAGGGGCGTGGGCACACACATGACTTTGGAGGGTGGAGTACCCAGGGAGACCAGCAACATAGAAGTGTCTGAAGCAGCTGCGAGGACCCAGTGGTCAGCCTCTGGAGAACTCCACCAACAGAAGGCCAGTCCCAGCCCCCACAGCCAGCGGCCGAGATCAGGTCCATATCCAACTCACTTCTGGGACCTCACATGGACATTATCACAGAACTGTAAACACTAGGGTATTTCATTCAGGAGTGTTTTATCAGACACCCTTGCTTGTTGGATTGACTATCCCTTTCTTGTCTGATTGGACATCATCTTACTTTGTTTTGCATTTTGTGGTTATTTTTGGTTTGGGGCTTTTTATTTTTTCTCCTCTCTTTCCCTGGTCTCCTTTTTTCTTTTTTTCTTTGTTCTCTTTCTCTTTCTTTCTTCTTTTTTATGTTGATGAGTCTTACCTTTTGAATTTTCTGTTATTGATCCTCTT